GCTCTCCCGCGCTCATGAGAAACGTTCTCATTTCCGAGCATAAAGCTGGACAAATGGGTTATAGTGTGTTAGTTCCGCTGAGGCCGAACCTGTTACTGCTATCACGCCCTCTTATCTGCTCGCGCTACTGTGCTTGTGTCATTACCCCTGTGGCTCAGTGGTGTATCACAAAGCTTTTCGCGCCAGAGACCCGCGTTCGATTCCGGCTCTCGCAGATAATTTTTATGCCGTCACAAGTCCAGCCTCTGCAGGCTAAAAATAGTCTCGTGCCCGCTTGCAGCGCTCACGTTTCTAACACGCACTTGCACGCGACGCGCGTCACAAGTGCAGCCGATTTCAGGCTATATATATATCCCGCTGCAGGCCGCTCACGTGACCAGCCTCAGCTGAGAAAAGGACGGCTATTTCTCACCATGGCTGAACCGCCATCAAGGTTTCGCCCTCTGTCAGTCCCCGTTCACACGGCTACTGCAGCAGTGTACACCGCCATCAACAAGCCGGTCTCTTTTCCCGCTTGCATGTGCACAAACGCCGTTTTCACCGCGTCCCAGAGAAATCAAAAAAAAAAAAAAGTGCATAAAAGCCTCTTGTGTAGAAAATGTGCCCACAACACTGTGTTCACTCATACACAAAACACTGCATGTGCACAAACACCGTTTTCACGGCGACCCAGAGATATCTCAAAAAGAGCATAAAAACCTATTGTGTAGAAAATGTGCCCACAACACTGTGTTCACTCATACACAAAGCACTGCATGTGCACAAACACCGTTTTCACGGCGACCCAGAGATATCTCAAAAAGAGCATAAAAGCCTCACGTGTAGAAAATGTGCCCACAACACTGTGTTCACTCATACACAAAAGCTTTTCAGTTCCCGTGTGTCTCACAGAGCCCACTCTCATAAAGCGGTTCCAACCCGCTCGAGTTTCAGAGTGCATAAGCGCGCCCACGAGCCCGTGTGCGCGTCCCACCTCTGCTCACTCTGTTACACGGCCCTTAAACTCCTCTCTGAGTGTAAGTCCCGCTGTCATAAACACTATGAGCGCGCCCGCGCGGCCCGCTGTGTGCAGCAACGGGGACCATGTAGCCATTCACCCCTTAGCGTTACGCTTCAAGCGTGGGAAGCTATTCCGGGAATTTCCCAGTGGGTGCTAAACACAATAAGGCTAGGCTATCGCTTACAGTTCCACCGCCGCCCTCCAGGTTTCCGAGCGCGGCTAGAAACTATTGTGAACCCAGAAGCAGTGACTCTGCTCCGTTCAGAGATAGCAAAACTATTGTGCAAAAGGGCTATAGAGAGAGTTCCTCTATCTATGAGCGAGTCGGGGTTTTACGGCCGTTATTTTCTGGTTCCAAAGAAAGACCGCGGCCTCAGACCGATCTTAGACCTCAGATTTCTGAACAGAGTTCTCATGAAGAGACCGTTCAAAATGCTCACTATCAGAAAACTCCTCGCGCATGTGCGCCAGGGGGACTGGTTCATTTCACTAGATCTGAAAGATGCCTACTTTCAGATTCAGATGAATCCCCTTCACAGGCCATTCGTACGTTTCGCCTTCGAAGGCCAGGTTTATCAATACACCGTCCTCCCGTTCGGCCTATCCCTAGCACCCCGCACGTTTACGAGGTGCATGGATGCGGCGCTCGCCCCCCTGCGGAGTCAGGGGCTGCGAATACTGAACTATTTGGACGACTGGCTGATTTTGGCACAATCACAGAGGGAGCTACTGTCTCATCGTACAGTTCTCCTCGACCATCTGAAAAGTTTGGGCCTCTCTGTCAACTGGACAAAGAGCGCACTTCAACCCAGTCAGACTATCTCCTTCTTGGGTATAGAGCTAGACTCGGTCTCAATGACGGCTCGTCTGTCTACACAGCGCGCGCGCCGTGTGCAGCGTCTCGCCGCATCTTTTCAGATGAACAGACTCACACCTCTGAAAACTTTTCAGAAGGCGCTGGGTTACATGGCCTCAGCCTCCGCAGTGCTCCAGCTGGGGTTACTGCGCATGCGCCCGCTTCAGTTCTGGTTGAAGAGCCGTGTGTCTCACCGCGCGTGGACCACGGGCCGCCAGCTGATAAAGGTAACGCAGACCTGTATCACAGCTCTGCAGCCATGGACCATGACAGAATGGTTTCAGCGGGGCGTTTCCTTGGGGACCTTTTCTCGCCGAAAAGTCATTTTCGACAGACGCATCCAACATGGGTTGGGGTGCGGTCTGCGAGGGCTCACCGGCCTTCAGCCCCTGGTCAGCTCAGGAGAGTCTCCTCCACATAAACTGTTTGGAGATGCTGGCGGTCGAGAACGCGCTCACGCGCTTTCTGACGCGCATTCACGGTCACCATGTGCTGATCCGTTCGGACAATATGGCTGTGGTCTCCTATCTAAAACCGTCAGGGCGGCGTCAGATCCAGAATTCTCTTCCGGCTGACAGAACGCATCCTAGTTTGGTCCCAGTGTCACCTGCTCTCGCTCAGAGCGACGCACGTGCCGGGCCATCTGAACGACGGTCCAGACAGTCTGTCCAGGAACCCCATTCCCCCTGGCGAATGGGAACTGCACACTCTTACAGTCCAAAAGCTGTGGCGAATATTCGGCAGAGCAGAGGTGGACCTCTTCGCCTCAGAAGAAAACACCCACTGCCCAATATTTTTCTCAAAACGCGAGGACGCGCTAGCCCAGACCTGGCCCAGCCGCCCGCTTTATGCATTCCCTCCGGTGTCTCTGCTACCACAGGTGCTTCAGAGAATCAGGGAAACACGCCACTCGGTGCTCCTCATAGCCCCGCGTGGGGAAGGTCAGACTTGGTTTCAGGAGCTCACTCAGCTGTCACAGACAGCCCCGTGGCCCATTCCAGTCAGAACAGATCTCCTCTCCCAAGCTCGCGGCACGATCTGGCATCCCCACCCAGAGCGCTGGGCGCTTCATGCGTGGGTGATCAACGACTACCCGTTGCTTTGCCAGAAGGAGTGTTAAACACGATCATGCAGGCTAGAGCGGCTTCTACTAGAAGGCTCTATGCGTCTAAATGGTCTGTGTTCTCTAAGTGGTGCACCGACAGAAACTTGGACCCACGGTCATGCGAGGTTCCTTCCTTGCTAGTTTTTCTCCAAGAGATGCTGGATAAGGGCAGGTCCCCTTCCACTCTCAAGGTGTATGTGGCAGCCGTCGCGGCGTTCGCTGAACCCCGGCGTGGCCAGTCACTGGGCAAAGATGGCTTAGTCATCCGCTTCCTCAGGGGAGCTAGAAGGATGAACCCCTCACGCCCCCCGTCGGTGCCGATTTGGGACCTTTCCATAGTTCTCGAAGCTATGAAAGCCCCCCCATTCGAACCGTTAAAAACCGTGGAGCTCAAATACCTTTCGCTCAAGACTATCTTCCTGCTCGCGCTCGCGTCAGTGAAGCGTGTGGGGGACCTTCACGCGCTGTCCAGCAGCGCTTCCTGTCTGGAGTTTGGGCCCAATGACTCCCTAGTCGTTCTCAAACCTAGACATGGTTATGTCCCAAAAGCGATTGGTACCCCATTCAGGGCATAAGTTATTTCTCTATCGGCTCTGCCTGCATCCAAAAGCGAATCTGACTCTAATCTCCTGTGTCCGGTCAGGGCACTGAGATTATACTTTACTCGCACTGCTCCGGTCAGACGAGCTGAGCAGCTTTTTGTTTCGTTCGGTGGGCGCACCAAGGGGTTGGCCGCCTCGAAACAGACTCTGTCCAGATGGATAGTTGATGCCATTGCAGCCGCATACGCGTCAAAAGACCTGCCGTGCCCTCTGGGCATCAGGGCCCATTCCACTAGAGGCATGGCCTCATCGTGGGCTTGGTCCAGCGGAATTTCCATTCATGATATTTGTGTGGCAGCGGGATGGGCTTCCCCCTCCAGCTTTATCAGATTTTACTATCTGGAAGTTCCCGCCTTGCAGGCTAAACTACTAGCAGTCTAGTATGTTACAGCTCTTCTGGTTGAGCTGCACTATAGGGAGTTATTCACGCAGACCGGTCTCGTTCTGTCCCTCCTTATTATGTGCTTATGTACTTCACAAATCCCCGGCCCGCTCCGCTGGCCTTTGTCACATGTACATATTTTATTCCCACTCATAAGGGTTCCCCGGGGTCCCCCCTGGGACTCATAGTGGATGCTTAGCACGCACGGCGTTGACCAGGTGTTCCCATAGCGTAAGCTAGCTTACGCAATACGAGAGAACCTCTCGTAAGAGAACGAATCGGTTACCTAACGTAACCTCGGTTCTCTCTAGATGAGGGAACGAGTATTGCGTTCCTGGCCGTGCTTGTGCTACTAGCGTTCTCGCTTCATTCTATGAAAACCAGAATTTACAGCCTGAGAGGCGAATTTATACTCTCTGGCCACGCCCGTTTCGGCGGGCTCTGACGCAATGAGAGCAGGTCAGACTCTCATTGGCCGAGAGTTCATTCGTGTCTCCTCATAGGCTTAAGCAGTTCCCTGTGAGCGAGCCAATGAGCTGCTAGCTAGCCTGCTCATGCTCTGCTGCAGCTGAACTGCGTTGTGAATAGATACAAAATTATAGGATAATTTTTGGCTTCAATTTCTCAGAAAAGATGAATCTTTCCCGCAATACTCGTTCCCTCATCTAGAGAGAACCGAGGTTACGTTAGGTAACCGATTCGTCTTTTCAGATTCAAATTAGACCAATCTACATTTTTATGACTGACTTTAAAAAGATATGACCAGTGTTGAAAAAAAAACGAATGACTAAGTTGCAAGACTAGTCTACGAAGTTTATGCAACCAGCCACAGAACTCAGGCTCGGAGACCAGCCAAGACCAGTAGCCAGTAACTTTGTTTTTGTTAGAAAAACAGTTTACAAACTTACTTTTTAGACTGTGGAAGATACATCAGCCTTAAAAAGTTCTAAGCTATATTGTCATTCAAAAGTTTGGGGTCGGTAATAAAAAAAAATGTTCCCCAAAAATTATAATATACTCTTATTATAATATAGTATATGTCTCTTATACTCCCATGGGTTGCATTTATTTTATCAAAATACAGTAAAAATTATAATATTATGAAACATTGCAATTTAAATGAACTGTTTTCTATTATATTTTAAATGTAATTTATTCATGCAAGGACAAAATTGAATTTTCAGCATCATTACTCCAGTCTTCAGTGTAACATGATCCTTCAAAATCATTCTAATATGGTGATTTGGTACTCAAGAAACATATCTTATTATTATCAATGTTGAAAACAGTTGTGCTGCCTAATTTTTGATACATTTTTTTCCAGATGAACAGCAAGTTCAAAATAACCGCATTTGAAATAGAAGTGATAGCAAAGATTTTTTTCTACATTGTTGCAAAAAAATAATCTATCAATTTAATGTATCCTTGCTGATTATCCTGTTAATCTGTAAATCTATTTTAAATCTTTTAATATGAAATACATGAACTACTATAAACAGGCATCACTTTCTCCATTTTCGAGATGGTCCTCACTGCAGAACACGAAATCCAGGGGGAGGAGTTGGATCCAGATCCAACTCCTCCCACCTTACATATACCTAAACCTACCCATCTCTGCCCCCTGATCCCTAATCCTACCCATATCCACTCCCTGATCCCTAACCCCACCCCTAATCCTACCCATCTCCACCCCCTGATCCCTAAACCTACCCATCTCCACCCCTTAGATCTGGATCCAACTCTGCCCCCTGGATCTCGTGTACTGCAATGAGGTGCTACTGCCATTTTCTATCAGCCAGAGTTGAATCTCAGTTGTGGCCCATACTGATCATCAATGCAGATGGCGATACTAGCTGATTTAGATCCAGATGTAAAGAAGGAATGCCTTGTTTGTTGTTGACAGAAACTGGCTGCAGAAATTCTATAATGTGGCTTTGCATATACAATAATTCATGAATGCATCAATAAGCAAGAAACAAATGCAAAAATAATCCATTTTGCTTACTTAGAATTTCCATGCTTACTTAAAAAAAAAAAATCTAATTTCAAATATGCAAACAAGCCTTTATTTCCATCTAAGGCCTGCGAAACATGCCCACACATTTGCTGTCTACTAAAGAAAACAGCACAATATGTATTTGTCTGTGTAATTAAATAGGAACAGAGTCCTCATTTTCTAGAGTTCAGAGGAGATTCGTGGTCACACTTTGCTGGATTCCTGGATCACAAAAAATTAGCTTGGATCCAGTCTGAACATTCCTGTATTCTTGTGCAATGACTGTCCCATAAAAACATAAGTTGAGATTTGGAGAATCAGTTTTCCTTTGATAAAACAAAGGTCAATATAAAAGGCTATGGTTCATTTTTTTTTTCAAAAGCAAGGAAGATGACATATGCCTATTTCTGGTTTCCATCGAATAATATCCTTGTATTTTTCTTTGAAAAAAATACTCCTCTGAGAGCAATATTCACTATATATACAGAAATATGTTCTGGTTATCAGATATGCTGAATACAGGGGGAAAAACATAATATTTCCAGAGGAAAGAGGTAAAGTAAGACGAGCAAATCAGAGGCAGCCTGTTCACTAAAGCACTCTAGCTTCAGAGTCAGATTTATTAATAAAATTACACTCAAAACCTTCTACAGACCACTCCTGAGGTCCAAGCCTTGGGTCATTCTACTGCGCTTCAGAGTAGAGCAGTGAGGACAGTTGTCAGCAGAGCATCAGTCTGAGAAAGAGACCAGAATAGGGTGCTTGTATTAGTTGGCTTTGGCTCGAAGCTGGGCTCTTTTGCCAGTGACAGCCTGGAATCCAGTCTTGATGCTGGCTACAGAGCAACGTGAGTGACAGGTTTCACACTGCAGGAAGTAGAGACGCGTGTCCTTCTGCAAAATTGTATCCGGTGAGCGGCAGGTATGACAAGTCACATATTCCTCTGTGAAACAGAGAAAAGAGAAAATGCCTTGTCAAAAATATATTAGGTAAACTAAATCAGAGTCCTGCACGTGAGGTAAACCGCTAATTTTGATGTAACGGGTGGAATAATATTTAAATTGTCATTTGTATTGCTCATACATATCGGTACCCACTGATGGGCAGCTGCTTACAAGTGGTCCCGTGCTTATTTGTGTTCGCGCTCTATAGTCTGAAGACCGTCAAATGTTTATAATGTTTCAACGTGGTTTAGCGTTGAGCACAGCAGCGTTTGCGAGCTGCCTGCAACTGTAGTGATTGACAGCTTCAGTCCATCTGAACATGGTCAAATTAAATTATGCCATATTTGATGAGAGGTAATGGCACAGTACATAACACAGTCAACTCCTGTTGAACAATAAAACTAAAATACTGATCAATATAGTGTTACAAGTTCATATATATATATACGTATATATCATATATATGTGCATCAGAGTTTCCGCTAGAAAAAAATGGTGCCGGTCAGAGTGACCGGCAGAGGTTTCGTTTAACGGACACTTTGATGATATGCCGGTCAAATATCGCCTCTTAATTAGTCAAGTTGAGGAAAACTGGAGGCAGGCTATGTAACTTAAAAAATGACATAATCAGGCCGTATAGAATGCAACAATGTTATTATTAGCCTAACTTTCAAATAGACGGAAAAAAACATGAACGTCCGATTGGCATCAATCAACACCAATTGTTTTTTACTATGGTTTCACTTCACACACATTCACTTTTTGAAACATTGAGGCACGGATGTACTTAATACAAATAAATAAAACATCTCCAGTTAACTAGCAGATCATTCATTTAGTTCGCTATTAAATAAGAGATCTAGCGCTAAAATCAGTTGTTTTTGAAATCAAGCCTGGCGCTCGTGTCCGCTGCTATCAGTTGCATGGACGACGCGCTGCGCGAGTTGCGCAATCTTCACTCGGACGCGCGTTTCAATCTATCGCCGTTGCGGAGACTCTACACAGGCGAAGCACTGCTACTTGGGCGCAGAGATATCGCGCAACACCTGAAATAAAGCTTGCCACAAAGAACCGGCAAAAGTAATTATGCATGAAACATTTGAATTGTTGATAAATTGATAAAGTTGACGATGCAGACTCGCCATCTTCGCAGTAGTGAACGCGCCTAGAGAGAGAAATGCACACTTCATATTGTCCACTATATTTGCTTCTTATTTATTAATCCAGGCAAATTTGTTGACGAAACATTGATTAAAATGAAGATACAATTTATACAAAACGAAATAAACTTTAAAGAAAGGCTTTCTACAAAACAAAACTAAATAAGTGGTCAAAATCTGACCCATTCCAAATGTTTTCCGATATATTGGTCATCTTATGATCCTATCTTACTCATCTCATGCGGTTCCCTTTTCATATAATCAACATAGATGAAATAAAAAAATAATAACATTATATTATTTATAAATATGAAACGTATGTTTAAGTTTTTTAACTTATAATAAGCGTCACACCGCTCCGCTTTGCTCACATGCTCTGGTGTGTAGCCTAATGCATGTGTGCGTGCATGTGGTGGAGGGGTACGATTTTCGAATAATAATCAACCCAGCGAACTTACAATTTATACAAAACGAAATTTTCAAGCAAAAATAATATTGGATCTTAATTTTAATCAATGTTTCATCAACAAATTTGCCTGGATTAATAAATAAGTAGCAAATATAGGCCTAGTGGACAATATAATCAGGACACGGAGGCGTCGGCGCGTGCACACTTCTCTCTATAGGCGCGCGCGTTCACTACTGCGAAGATGGCGAGTCTGCATCGTCAACTTGATCAATTTATCAACTTTATCAATAATTAAAATGTTTCATGCATAATCATTACTTTCGCCGGTTATTTGTGGCAAGCTTTATTTCAGGTGTTGCGTGATATCTCTGCGCCCAAGTAGCAGTGCTTCGCCTGTGCTTCCAAAAATGCATTTGCCCACCTATCTAAATGTAGGGGAGACCGTGAATAACCCCAATTAAAAAAACAAACAAACGGTGGTGTGTTCCTTTAAGGCTAGCCTGCCTGGGCCTGGCCATATTTGAAACGTCTCACTCAATCGTTCGTTGTTTAGGTCTATATTACAGCCGTTCTAGGCATGCGCTTTATTTGAAATGCAGCATGCGATGTTGTTTAATAACTTTCAAATGGTAGAGACTGTTCCTTTATAACATAGCCAAAGGTCGGTGTATGTTTGCTTTATACATTTTACGCACATGCGACCAAAATTTGTAAGGGTGCGACGAGAATTTTTCCTAGGTCGCACCAGTGTACCTAACATTCTCGCATGATCACATCCGCTGCCTCTCCACAAACAAGTCTTTTGTTCTCCTTGCACGCATGGTTGGATCATATCGTGGTCTAAACCAATCAGAGATAGAGATTGGGCGGGTCTTTGCCTCTGATTGGCTGTGGTTCAGATATTCCTGTAGGACTAAAATGCTCCGTGCTGTGTGATTGAAATAAATTGCGATCTGTCACCTGAGCACCAGAGAATCAGTTACGGCAATCAGCAACATCAGCTAAATAAACGCAGGAAAACAGACGACGAACTTTTAAAAATGTAGGCTACTTGAACTAGGTAAAAAATATTGATTTCTCGATTTTAATCGATTCTCATTGTTTCGAGCATCCCATCCAATAAATCGCAATAATCTTTGTGCTTTGTTACTATTGATATGAAACAAAGTCTCAGATTTCAAATTAGGTCCATTTTCTTACGAAATTCAAAAACATAAATAGTGTTTTGACGCTGTGGCGTGATATCGCTCAGCTCAGCTCAAGAGAAGCAGCAGCGCATGATCTTCTCTTCCGCCTTAATACCAGTTACAGCGCCAAATAAACATGAACGAGCATCTGAAAGTGTGTTAAAAGATAGAGTACAACTTATCGAAATCCGTATCATGTCACATGGAATCGCTCAATCAGTGTTTCAACCGTGGAAAGACGTCAGTAAAACGCTTGTAAACAATGTAATGTAACGTCACATTTACCTCAGAAAAAAACATATCCAGTGACCATAAACTCGGTAGCTAGCTAGAAAAATTAACTCTAGAGGAGCATTGTGCCTAATATATGCACCATATTACATATTCATTATCATTTTTAATGTTTTTCAATATTGAATGCATGTTGTTTGAAAAAAATCTGGCAAGTTTTTATGCAGCCACCATTTAAATGTTTATATTTCATATAACTTTATTATTATAAAAATAAATAAAAGTGTAATTTAAGTGTTTGTGTACAAATCAGGTAATTTTTACCTTCAATATTATAGTAGGCTAATGAAGCATAGTGGGCTACAACTGACTCCCAGTTTACAGCATTAGTTGAGATTTGTTTTTCTTGAGAAAATTTGCCATGTATTGTACCTGATATCCAAAATAATCAATATTGAATCGAATTGTGAATTTTGTTTCAATACCCTGCCCTAACTTGAACAATGTAAAAACAGCACTTATTTTTTTTTTTTTTTTAAGATTTATATTTTTATATACAGTATAATTGTTCTTCAAATAAAAAAAAAAACTACACCTTATTCTTGTTTAAAAGCATTTACATAATATATATGAATGTATATGGAGCGTGATAAAAAGGTGACCTTGAAATTGTGGTGTTAAAGGCGACGCGAGACGAGGAAAAATTTGAGTGCACCTAATTTTTGTGCTGGTGCACCTAAATAAAAAAGTTAGGCGCACCAGTGCAACCACGGCAAAAAGTTAGTCTGGAGCCCTGCAACATAATGGGAGACGTCAGTTCAAAAGAGAACAAATTGTTGGTGTGCGAGACGCTGGCTGATAATGCACCAATTCACACACATCAAGGCTCAGGGTTCGTACAGATACTGTAAAATGAAATTCCAGGACTTTCAAGCACTACTTTTTTGGTTTCCAAGGACTACAGTTAGAGATCTCACTTATCAAACAATATCTTTATTATCTTATAAATTCTAAAAAAGGTGAACAGCTGTATCAAATATAAAAACAGATATATGAGCAATATCATGCTCATAGCCATGTGAAATGGCATATCTATATAAGATGGGCTGCAGCATTAATTTAGCGTGAAAATAATGTATTTGATTTTTTTGTTGTTGTTTTTTGTGTGAAAAACAGTTAAGTCAGTAAAGGTTTTCCTCCACCAGCATCAAATAAAGCCCTGGCCACTGTTCTGGAAGAGGAATGATAAAAAAAAAAATCCTACACTAATAATAAATGATTGTGGTCTAAAACTAGGTGTTTCAGTTTCATTGTCCAACCCCTGCACATTAGCATGTAGAATTGGTACACCAGCTACATATTCATACATTCAAAATATTTGACTTACTTATATATCTTCTCAAGACATTCTCTATTTGCTTCTGTTGAAAGCGTCCTTTGATTACAAGCTGGTTATTTCCATCTATGGAGCCACTAGATATAAGACGACATCTCTTTAGTTACAGAAAAAAATCACATTTTCACATCTGACAATTATTGAAAAGCAATTAATAACTCACCTTGTTCCTAACTCGGCTAACAAGAATGCCAAAAGATGTTTGGGCTGTCGATGCAACCTGAATATGAAAAAGTAAACATGCTATGGTTTAATAGACAAAATTAGGCCAATATATTAGAATCACTGGTTTGATTAAATTCATATATTGGTCAATATCAATAAAAGTGTCTAAATTAAAGAAAAGGAAAACCCTTATTAGAAAGGTACTGTTTGCACCATGTTGGTTTCATAAACTCACAAACTTTTCCATTATCCTCACTCTGAATACATGCGTGTACACACCTATTTCAAGAAGATTTTAAATATATTTTTCAATGTAAAAAGTTTTTTTTTTTTTTTTTTACAAATATCATAAATTATAATTAAATATTTTAATTTATATTTAATATATTTTAGTAATTTATTAATACAGAAATATCATAAGATTTGTCATTTTACAACCTGAACTAACCTTGTCTTGACAATTTTAAAATACACCTTGAGACAGTCATGAGGGTCATGTTTTTTCTTTTTTTGCATTTTAGTGCATTTGCTTTGTTTGGCCGACAAATCTTTTTCAAATATTAATTTGAATGAGTATTTATTTTATTATCATATCAGGACAGTTGTATCACCCTGACAAGTCCCTTTAAATTGAATCTTCAGAAATTAAAACATGCTTCAAGAAATTTAAAAAAAATGCTTGTATTCAAGTCATTGTTAGTATGATTTTTTTTGTGCTGCTCTAATGTATTTTCGAATAAATAAAAAAGTAGGACAAAAATAGCGTAATGTGTGACTAACCCATATATCATCCATTGCACCATTTCCTAGAAAATACATTCAGTCAAAGGTTTTTTTAAGACCATTAGCATTCCTAGTTTTCTCTAGAACCCAGACTCAGCAGACATGCTAAGTGTTTGCACTCACAGTTTGCAGATGTCAGTGAAGTTTACAAAAGATGTTTTCTTTGTCCCAACTCGGACCACCTGAGGCGGCTTCATTACAAACTTCCTCTTCTCTCCTGCAACCATATCAGGGTTTTTCTCCCTCATGATGTTAAACACCCGGCTCAACAACTGTAAAGACGCAGACAAGTAAATGTAATAAATTAAAAGAAAACTATGTCACAAACACTGGGTAGAGTGATGTATGATATTGAAGAAGAGAGAAAGTACTCATCATATGAATCAACTTCATACCTCATCATAAGTGTAATCTCTCTCTGAATCTGCCCATGCTGGGCCTGATTGTGAAATGAATGTGATGCCTTCTGTGCTTTTATCATCCTCGATGACTGTAATAAAATATATGTGAAGAATTCAGACATTCACATTTTTAATCAGCACAAATTAAATCTTTGTCATAATCTTAAAGATTAGAAGATTCATCATTTGAAACAGTACATCATGTAGTGCATTAAACACCTGGAAAAAAAAACAAATTATTTTTCCCCTGACATTAATGTCAATGGCCCTCATTTATCATTCTTGCGTAGAAACGGGCGTATATATTGGCGTAAGATTATGCTTACACTCCTCTCACCGCCTGATTTATGAAGCTGTGCGTACCTTTGAAATCCAGGTGTACGCAATGCCTGCCCTTGATAAATCCCGCGGCTGAAAACGATCGTCATTAGAATAACACGCCCCTATATATTCAAGTCTCCGCTTCCCCCACGCCCTCATTTTACGCCATGGACACACGGAAGACGGCACAGAAGAGAAACTTCTCCGACGTGGAGCCGAAATGACCTATCACAATGCATTATTTTACAGCACGTCTTTTGAATTAGCATTCAATTTCGAATCACGTCACATGTATTGGGGTGTACAATAGTGATGATGATGAGGATGATGATGATGTGATGTGGAGTACCATTCATTCACATTAATAATTGCATGACAATTTGTAATATTCTTCTTATTATTATGATTTTTATTATTAATGAAGCTTATTGTTATTTAGAAGAAGAACGTCGTTATTATTATTTGTATTATTATTATTATTATTATTTAAAAGAAGAAGAATGTATTTTTTATTATTTTGTCAGTCTGAATTATTTTTTGGTCATTGAAAGCCTTTCGTTACCGAACCCAGTCCGTGCGCACCTGCCGGGCCAAACCCTGAAACGTCAGGGTAAAGCGCATAGGCTCGCAACTGAAGGAATACATATGGCTAAAAATCAAATTGCTTTGGTAAAGTCACACAAATTAAACATTGAAGTCCATGTTGCACAAAAATAAACACTGAAGTTTATAATTACTATGTTGTTGTTGTTGGTCATATTATCATATCTTGCAGTTTGTCAGTGCATTTTGTGGTGTTAGGAATTGTTTTTCTGCGCATTTCCGCACTAACTCAAAACGTGCGTACACCACCTCCTGAGCTGGTGTAGGATTTGAGCGTGCCGTACGCCAACATCCATATTGATAAATCTCAAAGTCACCGTGGTTTTGGGTGTACACCAGGTGTACGCTGGAAATTTGGTGTACGCACTTTTGATAAATGAGGGCCAATGTCACTATTTATACAAGCACAATTTAAAACAACAACAGTTGAACAGTGTGCTGTACATAGCATAATATAGAACTCAATAGAGTATAATATTAGCCTGGTTAAAACCAGACCATTCTCAGTTGTAACTGAGTTATGGTCTGGCAAAGCGTCATAGACAAATCATTTCCAGAGCGGCGTCACCAACGGACATCGCGGTCCGTTGGTGACCAACAGACCGCAAACCTAAAACCAATCAGAGCGATGAAGGAGATGGCGTATGCAGAGCGGCGGAGAAATATCTCAGAAAGTGTTGTTCTTTGCTCGGTTTTTAACAAAAAGGAAACGTTCAAATCGCTTAAAAGAGACGCGATAGCTGATTCGAACGAGTGATGTTCGACGGCGGCATCCATCTTTGTAATGTAGGCTACAAAATCTGCTTCAAAATCCCAGCGCTGTCGTCATCGTGTAAAGCCCGGCCCAACGTTTCTGATTGGTGCCTCGATTTCGACGGATTGGAAATGGGCTTGAATTTTTGCCAGACTAACTTTCAGAGCAAATCTAAATTTGCTGGAAGTTGTCTGGGTTTTCCCAGGCTAGTATAATATAGAACTCAATAGAGATTCCAGTCAAAATAGGCACAGCATCATTGATTTAAATCTATAGAAAACAAATAAGATTTAAGTTGATTAAAAATTAGGGATACACCGATACCGATCGATACAGCACACGTGTCATGTGGATTAAAACTAAATTAAAACATGAACCGCTATCTGATTTATGTATAGCGAATGATTTCCTACATTATTTCAAAAAGTTTCATGAACGCAAACATCCGAAGCGCGTGCCCCAAGAATCTGCGTCTCAGACAGCGCATGAATACTGAATTGAATTCTCTTTCACATCTTGCGCTTGTATGGACGAATTCACACAAAATTAGGTAAAAACTATTTTTTTTTTTTACCAAAAAATATTTTACCAAAATTTTTTTACCAAAAAAAAAAAATACTATGAGTATCCTAGTAAACATAGTCGGTTATATCTCAAGTGAACGTAGACAGTAGCCTATTCATATTGGACCCATGCATTCGGTCATAAAGGGACAGCAGTCTAATAAACCTGCTGCTGTTTTAATGTTAATCAAACAAAGGACAAAGAAATCACTAACTGCTCTTAACTAAATACCTTTTGTAACTTTATAAAGATCCATCTATATTTAATTTATAAAGTAATGAATATGTAGTGTTATTTCACATTTGATTACTTTATTCAAATTTCTGTACCTCAAAACTACTGTTAGAGCTACCTGAAAAGAAAACAGCCGTTTATTTCAATTGTAGCCTTTCTTTGTTCTATTGTATATTTTTGTGCTATTTGTAATTTGATTATTCTATCTTATTTTATTACTGACCGTTTACTTGTCTTTAATAATGCTTTAAATTTAAATTAATTAGGCTAGTAGTTTTGCTGTAGTATCAAAATTGGAATAGAGAATTGTGATATTTCACTGCTTTCTAAACATTTGAACCACTGACCCAATCCTCAGCACTGAGCCCTGCTGAAGCGGCTCTAAATATGCACTGTACTATTAAATGAAAGATAAAATATAATAGAGCAATAGAATGAACAGTGAAAGTAACGGAAGCTCATACAATACATTTTAGCAGGCTTAATTAAGCATGAAATTAGGCTAAAAAATTAGCCAACTAATATGATTTATATTATTTTGGATTCTCTAGCCGATACATTTAAAAAGTATAAATGCAGTGAAAATACAGGTATTGGTACTCTATATTGGCAAGTACCAAAAATGAAAGTATCGGTATCAGACTCGTTCTGGAAAAAGTGATATTGGTGCATCCCTATTTTAAATGATCTACTGATGTAGCAGTTCTAATAGTAACAGTAACAGTTTTGGCGAAGCTACTACAAATGCCAGGTCACCTCTAAAATTTAATTTTGTCCTTGGAACCTTTTGTCCTTGGTTTGAGGATCTCAGAGACCTCCCCGAGCAATGTTCTGACAAGAGATCAGTAAGATAACATGTTGCCATGCCATTTAGAGATTTGTAGACCATTAAAAGAACTTTAAAATCAATTCTGTAGCAGTCTGACAACCAGTGTAATGGAATTAGGGTAGGTATTATATAGGGTTGCCAACCGTTCCGTATAATACGGAATCGTTCCGTATTTGACACATAAAAGGCTTGTTCCGTATTGAACTGATACGGAACGCACTTTGTTTCGTATTTTTGAGAATCAATTCAGTGCAAATCCATGACAGACGCATAGCTTCTAATATATATGTCAGACAGACTATGATGAATGAACGAAGACCCGCTGCTATAATGGCAAATTCGGGGACTTGGCGCCACCTTGACGGGCTCTGACGTGTAATGACGTAGAGTTGGCTCATTGGTCGCACGTCAGAGGCGCCCGCGTCATTGGATGTGCAGTTGCCGCAGCGCAGCCTGAGCGAGCCAGACCAGAGCCATAGAGAGAAAGCTCAATGTGCAAGCTGTGCAGCTGCAAATGCATTTTACAGGCTTCAGTAAATCGAGTAAAATGTGTTTCCGAAGACATTTGTAGGCTATGATAAAAAAAAAAAAAAAAAAAAAAAAAAAAAAAAATTTGCACCGGAAAGAACATTCTAGAAGTCTAATTCTATTGAATAAGTTCGCACAAGGCTACAGAAAACTGTTGTGTTTATTTTTCTTCAAATGCAGTCTAAGCCGATGAGTTTCGAATGTTATATGTTGTATTTGTTTAAGTTAAAAATAAAACGTATTATAATCTAAACAAATACATGGTTCATTTTTGGCAAAATGATCATGATAGCCTTTATATATCTGTGTGGTTAAGTCTTGTATATTGATTTAGCCTACTTTGCTATTCTATAAATATATAGGCCTAATAAGTTGCATTATAATATGATATAAAATGTATGAATTTCAGGGGGCATGTCACTACCTACCACATACCATCGCCCCCCCCCCCCCGTTCCTTATTTCCATTTCAGAAAGTTGGCAACCCTAGTATTATATGTTGATGTTTCTTGACACCAGTCAGGAGCCTAGCAGCTGCATTTTGTACCACTTGTAGCCTAGAAAGAGTAGCTTGACTAATTCCTATAAAGAGCGAGTTGCACTGTATTTCAAACGTAAGAAACTTAAACCTGACATTATAAATATAAAGTAACACAAACAGGATCTGAATTATTTTTCTGTAACTCCTAACTTTTATATTCACATTTTTTAAATAATATTATTAAGCAGCACATTCTAACTAAATGAAGTGTATGTTCATACCATCCTCTTGTTCCACAGTATCTCTCTCCTCAACAAATTCCACTTTTTTTGCTTTCTTTTTTTTAGCTGGAAGCATCAAGTCCAAATCATCTTCCTCCATTATTTCCTGCTGGTCTCCCTCAATTCTCAGCTCCTGGTCACCAATAAAATGAAGAGTCAACAGCCGTTAGAAGAACTATCAAATACAAGAAAATATGCTTAATGGGCATCACATTAGTGATGGGAAGTCCAATTCTTTTTCCACAAACTGATTCTTTTGGACAGTTTGTTTTAATAAACCAGTTAAAAAGACAAAGACAATGCACACACAATAGGGCTTTTCACCCTGCACTTAAACCCGAGTTATCATCGCTCTAAAACCTGGTTTTAACCCAGGCTAAAGAAGCATTTCACACATTTTAGAAGCGGTGTTAGCACCGTGTTTTACCCAGGGTTACGGGGCTTTTGCGGTGTCAACACCGTATTGCGGTGCCAAACGTGTACAGTGTGAAATGAGGCAAGTTCTGGAATGTTACGGCTAGATGCTTTGCAACAGACAGCCAATCAAATGCCTCATATTCATGTTTTATAGTCACAGAAACACTGTGTGTTGCTAAACAGTAGGCTATATTTCAGTGTTTGAGTGGAACATTTTTGAATAGTGACAGAACACATGACAATTGGAGTTAAGAAAAGATCATTACATTCTTACCTTTACGGTAAAAAAAACTCCATTCAGTATATACCCGATAGTATCGGCGGGCAATATATAAATGAGGATTCGCAATGCAAGGCATTCGTCCAATTCATGACACTCACTGACACCGCAAATTTGAGAAATGTGAGAAAAATGATAACCCAGGATTCAATTTACCCAGGGTTTAGAATGACCCAGGGTTAACCATTTCAGGTGTGAAAAGCCCTAATAAGTGCATTGTATCAAATGATTAATTGTAAACGCTAGTACACAGTAGTTAAAGACAGTTATTATTAAGTGGATCCAATTTTTTAAATAATAATATTAGTTATGCAGCACACTCTAAGTGAATTAAAGTCGATAATAAAACGGATATGCAATGGGGAAGAAAAGACCAAACTCTGGTAGGAGGTGAAAAACATTTCATGTGTATTGCAAAGAGTGAATCATTAAACAATTCCCAGACAATTTCCTTATAAACAACTGCTAACCTTTATGCCTTCTTCAATGTCATTTTCAAACACCTTCTTTGGTTTCTTTTTCTTCTTTTTCTGATTAAAGAAGTTCAGATCATCTAAATCATCCGAAGGCTCTGTAAAGATAGTTGGAGAAAAGGGTCAATCTCAAATAATACATTATTTACAAACTCCTTCACACAACTTTTCAAGGTTCTGGTTTAAATACATTTGTTGAGAAACATGACTAAATCTAATGCCACGGTACAAGAGAAAAACAAAACACTGCATTGTTTATGGGAAAAAAATGGCCTCTCACCCTTTTTCTTGATGTCATCATCTTCAGGGTCCATTTCTCGCTCCTCTCCTGCTTCAGGCTCAACTTCTCTCTGTTCAACCTGTTGGGCTTCCTCTCCAAGCCCATCGCCATCTTCGTCGAGCATGAAGGGCTTCTTCTTCTTCTTTTTCTTCTTTGATGTAGTGGGGTCGAATAAAATCTGAGGACACATAGGGCACCAGAATCATTTGCTAAAGCATGCCTCGCTGTGGTGAAGTAAATAATACTCACCCGTTTTTACTACTCAAGCAATGTTGAATGTTCTTTATTAGTTTTTGCATTTTATACAACTAGAATTAATACGTAATAATGCGATAAAAAAACAGCACATGCAGCCTAGAGCACGTTATAGGCAACACTGTAACTGCTCTCAAATCTATTCCAAAGTCACAGGCACAGCATGATTGAACATTTCCACTAAACTGTGGATATTTACAAAATATAAAAATAGACCACCACAATACCTCGTCTTCTGACATGATTGAATTAAATATCAATGCTTTTCGTCCTGGTAAATATAGTTCACACGGTTAACTACTCTCATCCACTGTCTTGCATCAGCACAATCAGCGAGCTAAGCGCGCAAGCGTTCTTTCTTCCGACGACAAATGATTACATCATCTCCACGTCCACGACAACACCATGCGACTTTCCATGACTGCGCCCGAAATTGCTACTTATTTTCATAAACAGTAAAAGAAGCTTATTTTGAATGAGTAATTACTTCACGAGAATCACGACCGCTAAAAAAAGTATGTCAGTATGAATGCTTGTAATATTAATGTAATCTGGACGTAGCCTACTACATTCGACATGGCATGTTGTCGTTTTTTTCTTTTAAATCATAAAATGGGCTTTATTAATTTGAATTTTTTTTATTATTATTTATTAAATGCCAGTCACATTACGAATAATAAACATGATAATAGTCCAACATATAATATCAAAATATTAAACAAATAGCCTATATAGTATATAAACTAGTATATAGTTTATACAAACAATATAGTATATAAACAATAAGTAAAAAGAAAGAAAAAAGAAAATATATATATATAAACAGAAAAAGGAACAGGTATGAGATCATCATATAAATACCATAATAGCTTGATATAGAGACCTAGTGCATTTTGCTTTGCTATTGTTCAACCCAAGTAGCCTAACTTAATCTAATTTTTCATATCTATCTGAAATAACAAAAAAAATTGTTTTCCTTTAGCCCATTTTTGTTTATGTATATGGAATTTCCCCATAATCAAACAAAGATTAACAATTAAGGCGACACTTGGTCGTAATCTTTGTCTATTAAAATAAAAATACATCTCTTTCAGAAAAGTAAACTTTAATGTTTAATGTAATAAGCATTCAAAGGAAACATTCCATCCAAATCTATCCAAAACATTTTACTATAAATGCAATTAATAAATAAGTGGACAACACTTTCTTTCTCAGTCCCACAGAAATCACATTTAACATCTACATCAGAGCAAAACCTAAGAAAAAGAGTTTTAACAGGGTACCTTATTTGAATGCAATATTTTTTTTTTTCAGCAACCATGCATATATCAAGTTAATGTTCTCAACTTTAGAATGCCAGTATGTTTTAGAATATATTGGGCTGTTTTCTGTTTGTAACTTCCTTATAAAGTAATTATTCCATCTTCTATCAGTAAAAGTAACTCCTTTAATTGAAACATCAGGTCTGAGACCCACAGTCTCCTAATTCACATTTCCTTTAAACAGACATTTTAAACCGGATGGTATAGCATCAAATACAATACATTCTTTATTCTTTAATATTATACCTTTGAATAAATTCTACATAGGTATACCCCATTTTCATTAAATAACTTTTTGACAAATATAGTGCCATTATCAACCCATTTTTAGGTTTTATGTTTAAACATTATATATCTGTTATTCCAAATTATACATTTGTTTGGAGAAAAAATATGTTAAGATAAGCATCCACGAGAGTAGCATGTGCCTGTGAAAATTAATTAATCTACTGTAACTGGAATCTTACTGATTGTGATTTCAAAGTTGCATTGCAACAGAAAAGCAAGCCCACCCATCTTTTAAAAAATTAGATTAGGAATTAAATACCAACTTTTATTTTTGTATTGAAAGTAATGCTTGATCCATCTATTCTTTAAAATTGTATTTGAAGTGCTGAAATTAAGTACATTTAAACCTCTATAACCAACCAAATTAGTTAAGGTATTTTTTAATGTAATATTTCTCCAAATGAAATTGAAAAGATTCTAATCGACTTCTTTAATGATGTTATTCGGAACTTCTAGTGAAATAGCAGGACAGAGCAGATGAGATAAACATTCAGCTTTTGATTAAATAATTATTTTCTTCTCATTGACAAGTCTCTCATTAACCATAAATTAAATCAATTTTTAACTTTTTAAACAACAGATTGAATATTAAGCTGACCTTCCTTTTCATCTTTACATATTTTGATTCCTAAATGTAACAACATTCTTTACAGGGATGCCATTAATATCAAGAAGTTCACTATTTTTAATAACTCACATTTGTTTACATTTAATTTTAACCCTGAAACTGGTGAAAAGTTATTCAAAAAATCAATCACACTTTTTTTCTAATGAATCTCTAACAAATTTTAGTGTATCATAATTGACTAATCGACAGCATTTTATTTCTCTTTCTAAAATCCTGATTCTGTGAAAATTATATTTGTTATTGTAAATATTGTAATATTTGTATACGAGTCATTGTCTGAGTTACAAGTAAAAACAAAAAAGGAGATTGGGCATCCCTGTCTTATGGCTTTTTTTCTAAAAGAAATCTGGGGGTAGTGCCATGTGCAAGTTTTACTGTGCTATTACACCCATTATAAAGTATAAATGGCCCTTTTAAAGAAATTACCAAAGCCAAAAAAATCCAAAGTCTCAAACATGAATTTGTGGTCAACGGTGTCAAATGCTTTATAAAAATCTACAAAAAATATAAAACTTTCACTATCAATATACTCATTATAATCAATTAAATCTAGGACCAAGCGAAAATGATTACTTATACTGTATTGTCTGCCCTATATTGATTGGCAATCATTTATAAATGATTAAATGATTATAAATGATTGCCAGTGATTGGCAATCATTTATAATTTGTTCTAAGCATTTTTTTAAGGTTAGAGTGGCATGTTGTCATTATCATGTGACCTACCATTGTCAGTTATTTACTGCCATTCATAAATGATAAATTATCTACCGTGGCATCATGGGATAATAAAGTGTCCATCGTCTGCACACTTCAGAATCTCGCCGGAAGTAGGTCGTCCGGGACCCGGGTACTTAATTTTTTATTAAACAATATGTCATGTACAAACAACATTGCAACAAAAATATATCATTACAATATGACAGTAGGATAAGGTGCAAAAGTGCATAACAGAAAATAAAGTAAAAGAAAAAAAAAGGGAGCTAGGGTTTACTTTTCAATTCATATTCTTCTATTGTAGCAAAAAGTCTTTTTTGCATTTTTACTTTTCATCATTTTTTAGAGCATTTGTATAGGAAAGAAACTCATTGTGAAATACACAAAACTTAGGTTTTACTTTCTTGCCTACTCTTTTACGAGTACTGTGAATTCAGACTTCTATTGTCACATGGCCTTCTGTTTTTCGCCTATGATATAGTATAGATGCTATTTCAGGTGCTGCCAAAGATGTGCTTCAATTTAGATTTATAGTAATAATTATTATTATTTTGATTATTAGTTTGGTTTGTAGCTTCTTCCAAACATGTATGGCGAACACCATGAATCGAACATGTTAAACGAATTAGCAACTTTCTTTTCAGAAACAAACAGCCATGGTTCATCAAAAAAGAATCCACCCAAACCCCTTACCTACATTAAGGTAAAATAAAGAACATGAAAAGGGACTTGGCAAGGAATAACAAAAAAGACAAGAGAGGAATATACAGTATATACCACACTCTTCCCAGTAAATTTTATCGGTCAGCTGAGGGATTTTACAGTTAGTCATTCGAAGACATGCCATTTACGGTAAATTGAATCAGCTTGCCATTAAGTAAGGCACATTGTATTCATTGTATGCTTTTGAGTGCAAGAACCAAGACAGAAGTTACTTTTTTATAAATAATTTTAACAAGAGCTAAGGTAGATGCCACAGAAAGACTAACAACACCAAAGAAAAGGAATCCAAAAGTTTGATCTCTCAAATAAACGCCATCTGAATTTTTTCAAATATACACAAACACCAAATATGCCTCAACCTGAATAGATACAGCATTTTTCAAAAAAAGTATATGCTCCCTTATGAGGAAAAAAATGTAGTATTGTTTATTTTGTATGTTTTGAATAATTACAGTCATCTACTGCCAGGAGAAAGCCCTCAGCATATCAATGAATCAGACCAGAAAATATCTCAGTGGGAAAAGTCTGTTATTAAATAGGTCATTTTCTGCAACTATTCAGACACAGCACCAAACAATACATGATGGGCAGTCATATATATATATATATATATATATATATATATATATATATATATATATATATATAAATAATGAAGCTAATGTCAGTTAATCCGGGGTTTTTTGTTTGTTACCAAACCATTATGGCATTGTCAACAAGCTGTAAAAATGTTTATGTTGTTGGAAGTACTGAATAACATTAATCTAACAGAACACATTAAGATCAAAGTTTGAAGCAAACAACAGTACTGAACATATTTAATATATCAGACAAGATGAGAGAAAGTGAATATGAAACTTGTGTGTTGGCAAACATGCTAATTTCATGACAAATCAAAACAACCAGTTTCTGAAGTCAAATAAGAAACAAAAATTAGAAACATTAATGCATTACCTAAATAACAATGGCCAAATATTTAAGGGTCACGTCACATATTATGTCATCAGATTGTATTGTCTTATTTACTTTAAAAACCTGCTTCATATCCATTTTTGTTTGCAACTCTTGTTTTTCTAGACTTCTTTTAGCCATACTGCAAGAGGCATGGCAACTCAGAAAATTTGTTTTGTAGTGTTAACCCTCTGAAGTTACATGGGTTTGCCTACACAAGCCAACAAGGACAAGCAATGAAAGTCTGTCAGATTGGGTAAATTCACATGGCCCATGCCTTGAGTTCTTCCATGTCATCCTCATCCTCCTCTTCTCTCTTTTTGTGGGCTGGAGAAACACAAAGACAGATGGTTATTGAGGGTTTCCACAGAGGAACCTCTCTGCATGTTAGTATTAAAGACTATTAAAGTGGTATTCCACTTTTCTTTAACTTACCAAAGTCCAACTTCATATGTAAAGTTTTGATTTACTTTTGATTTAAAAGTATTTTTTAGTTTGTGAGATTCAAAACAAATCATTACTAATCTACAATAGTCAGTCAATAGATTGTTTGGTACAATAAGGTTCGTTAGTTAACAACCTAAGTTAACAGAAACTAAGAATGAACAATACTTCTTTAGCATTTGTTTAGCAAAGGTTGTATTTGTTAACATTAGTTAATGCACTGTGAACTAACATGAACAATGAACAGTTGTATTTTTATTAACTAACATTAACAAAGATTAATACATTTTTTAATAGACCTAGATCACATGAATTTTGGTACTATGTTGATATGTAATGAACAGCATGAAACTAACCGACAGCTGTTTTTTTGGGTAATGGATTTGAAGGCACACTGGGCAAGGGGACATCCTCTGTGCCACTAATTTCCAGCAGGTTCTTGTCCAGTTCCTCCTGTTCCAACTCCTCCAATTCAGCCAAGAGCTCATCCTAGAAAAAGCAAGAATCTTATTGTTCATTCAACATCTGTTAAAACTGCATTTGAAGAGAATGTTGGAGCAAAAAGCAATGAGGGATACATCTATGTAAAATGTATTAACAACCATTTCGCCTTAATCAGAGGGTTAGGTAGAACTGTTAACACATGCACTGTGCAACAAAAAAGTCCAGTAGTGAAAATACTTCTATTGCTATTTTTTCTATGTTGAACTGAAAAATTAGCAATAGTTAATTTCTAATTTCCTAGGTATCTGCTTCATTTTCCTTTTGCTTTATTGTTAGCAGCACATAACTTTACAGGTTTGTGTTAATCCTGATGATCATGTTCTCCAGCATGATTTAAGATGACCCAAAGAGCATCTTGTGCTTCAATGTAAGCAAAAACATTGAGTCACATGACCAATGTCACAAATGTTCTTAAAATAATGCCGTCATAATGTTTTTTATTCCTAAAACTTTCTGTTGGGGAGACACTGGAGACCACATAAAAAACTCACCTCATCAAAGTCTTCTCCAAAACCTACAGGTCTTGAAATGGCATCAGAAATCTCCTGTGCCAACTCCTGCTGGTCTGTGATGTCTTGCATGAGGTCATCCACTTTGTCTAGATCCCTGAAAACATTCAATAATATCAGTATGTGCTGCATTCTGTACTAAGGAATCAACAGGACATTTGAATCAGGTATCTTACATATTTTCATGGGCTGTCTTCATGGCCTTGGCAGCAAAACCCATGTTTTTAAGCACTTCTGTGTTTGTATTGGCATTCTCTAATGCTTCTCGCTGGAACTCAATAGTGGAGAGAGTTCCATCTATCTGAGCTAGTTGCTTTTCATATCGCTTCTTTCTTTTTAGGGCCTGTAAAGCAGCTTGAGAAAGAAAGAGGCAGACATGCACACCATAACTTAATGGTAAAAAATATAAATACAAATTATATATAGGGTTAATTCAGGCTAATTGGGACATTTTGCCATTCATCTGAATGGCAAAAAAGATATATATTTACATGCCATGAAAAAATAAAAATAAAATCACCTAGATTCTCACATATGTAATTAACTTTTTCCCAGGTTATCAATAAAGTTAACATTAACCATACCCAAACAAGAAATTCCCAGCATGTTGGGATGTTTACAATACACTCGATGTAGTTAACCATGTTCCCTGTTAATGGCTGTTCTTTCACAACCTATCACATGACACTAATCAGACGTAACTAAGTGATATGAAATCCGATCCTTTATTAAGTCAAAACTCTTTTATTCAGTTTCGTGACAGCAGGGATTTTAATGTTCCTATCTACGTTCTTCCATATATACGTTCTTCTACCCAACATAGATTTTGTTTTTATAAATCGACTTCATAGTTTCGATTATCACTCAGTTTAGGTCAAGTGACGCATGGGTGTAGCTACCCAACTATGCTGAAATCGACGACAGGTAGGGCGAGCGAAGAGGGTAGCTTTCTTTTTAAAGTTATTTAACACACATGTCAAAACGGGAGGATTCGTTTTTAATACATACCTCGTTTGTTTTTCGTGCCGTTTTTTTTTGCTGTTAATAGCTCCGCATCAATTTTTTGCTCTAAATACTCTTGTTTCTTGGTTAACATCTCTTCTGTCTCACGGAGTTTCTGAATAGCTTCTTGTGGATTTGGGCCTTTGCCGCCTTTCCCCCCACCGCCAAACAATTTGCCGAAAACGGACATATTATTTTATATTATCCGAGACTAAGAAATCCCTCTGAGTCTGTTTGTTTCTAGACACTACTGGTAACGTCAATCGCTGTTCCGTGTTCAGTTGTTGATTGTCTTACTTCCGCCTTCAGGCCTGGTGTCGTCATGAAACTCGTCATGGTCAGGCCACCTATCAACACTGCAGCTGCTGATAGCTGCTGTCAATTTGAACAGATATTTTGGAAACAATGTTTTTATTTATGCGATAAGTAATTTAAATATAACACTGACTGTAAAGGATACTAGATATATATATCATTTTAGGGCTTCGGGTCATTTTATAGTTTTTATTTTTATTTATTTTTTTACTTAACTTAGGTTATTTTATTTCATTTTGATAATATATTTTCTATTTAAAAAATGACTTTTTTTTTTTGATTTTTTGTTATTGTATTTACCTTTAAATTACTAGATTTGATCAATAAGTTATAAATAAATAGTAATTTAAGCACATTCCTCACATTCTTTCAACTAAAATTCAAAATAACTCACAATTTCATGCATAACCCTTTTAATTCAGCTCAAAATATCTTACATTGGGTGTCTTTGCCGACCTCTTGTGGAAAAAAAATATATATACAGGGAACTACACCTTTTCCACTGGTGGCACTTGCGCTACTAACTTTTTCAGTTACTGGCGCAAAACATGATTTGGTCGCACAAATTATTTATAGTAAGCCGCTCTCTGGATAATAATGAACAATAATGAAACTGTACTGCATTAGGGGTGGAACGGTACACAGAAGTCAAGTCAAGTCAAATATATTTATATAGCGCTTTTCACAATACAGATTGTATCAAAGCTGCTTCACAGTATCAATCAAAACAACTTAACAGTGTTTGTTTATTACTGGATAAAGACATCCAAGTTTGGTAGAGCTGATCAGTGGTATGATGGGTCATTTAATTTGAATATCCCCTACTGAGCAAGCCAAAGGCAACAGTGGCAAGGAACCGAAAAACTCCATCAAGTGACCCGATGGTGTCCTAAAAATCCATCAGATGACCCAATGAAAAAAAAAAAAAAAAAAAAAAACCTTGGGAGAACCCAGGCTCAGTCGGGGCCAGTTCTCCTCTGGCGTTTATGAAGTAGAGGCCGAATTTACAGTAACTGTAAGATAAAAAATTTATATGAATGCCTGGCTAAATAGATGCGTCTTTAGTCTAGTTTTAAACTGGGAGAACGAGTCTGAGCAACGAACAATATCAGGAAGGCTATTCCAGAGCTTCGGAGCTAAATGTGAAAATGCTCTCCCTCCTTTGGTGGATCTGGATATCCTAGGAATGACCAGAAGCCTCGAATTTAGTGATCTTAAAGAGCGCGATGGATTAGGGCGATAGAAGATCCGTTAAATAGACTGGAGCTAAACCATTTAGAGCTTTATAGGTCAAAAGCAATACCTTGTAATTAATACGGAACTTTATAGGTAACCAATGAAGTGATGATAGAATCGGTGTTATATGATCATATTTTCTTGATCTAGTAAAAACTCTAGCGGCTGCATTTTGGACTAACTGTAGCTTGTTTATTGAAGATGCAGGACAACCAGCTAATAAAGCATTACAGTAATCTAGTCTCGAGGTCATGAATGCATGAACTAACTTTTCTGCATCAGAGACTGATAGAATATTACGTAGCTTAGCAATGTTTCTAAGGTGGAAAAAGGCTGTTTTTGTAACATGAAATATGCTTTTCAAAAGACAGGTTGCAGTCTAATGTAACACCCAGGTCTTTTACTGTAGCGGATAAAGTAACAGGGCATCCTAATATGTTAAAGTCGTGCTGTGAAAGGTTTTGTGGATGGTTTTTAGAACCGATAAGTATTACCTCTGTCTTGTCTGGATTTAATAAAAGAAAGTTACGCGTCATCCAATCTTTTATATCTTTAACACAATCTGTCAATTTGGATAATTTAGCGTATTCATCTGGCCGTGATGAAATATATATTTGAGTGTCATCGGCATAACAATGGAAACTAATTCCATGTTTCCTTAGAATATTACCAAGTGGCAGCATATATATTGAGAATAATAAAGGACCTAACACAGATCCCTGTGGCACTCCATAGTTTGCCAAAGTTATGATCGATTTTTCTCCATTTAAGTAGACGAAATGGTAGCGGTCAGATAAGTATGACCTGAACCAGCTTAATGCTTGTCCTTGAACACCAGTGTAATTTTGTAGTCGATCTAAGAGTATTGTGTGATCTATAGTATCGAACGCAGCACTAAGATCAAGTAAAACTAGAACTGAGATACAGCCTTGGTCCGAAGCTAAAAGTAAATCATTTGTGATTCTAACAAGCGCAGTTTCAGTGCTATGATGTGGCCTGAATCCAGACTGAAACTTTTCATAGATGTCGTTTTCTTGCAAGAAAGAGCAGAGTTGAGCGGACACAACTTTTTCTAATATTTTTGACATGAATGTAAGATTTGAGATGGGTCTGTAATTTGCTAGGTTATTTGGATCTAATTGTGGTTTCTTAATAAGAGGTTTTATAACTGCCAGCTTGAACGTTCTTGGAACATGACCTAAAGATAAAGATGAGTTAATAATATTGAGGAGAGGCTCTTCCACTATAGGTAACACTTCTTTCAATAGTTTAGTCGGTATAGGATCTAATAGACATGTTGTTGTTTTAGATGAAGTGATAAGTTTATTTAACTCTTTTTGTTCTATGGTTGTAAAGCATTGTAATTGTTCTTGCGGGGTGATAATTGCGGCTGAATTATAAGGCGCGAGCAAAGATTGAGCGTTTACGATTGTGATTCTGATGCTTTCAATTTTCTCGGTGAAGAAATTCATGAAATCATTACTACTAAACTGTAACGAGGTATTTTGTTCAGACGACGTCAGTTTATTTGGTATTAAATAAAAACCTTGGATTATTTCGGTTGTTTTCTATTAGTTTGCGGAGGTGCTCAGCCCTGGCCGTTTTAAGGGCCTTTTTATAACGTGACATACTGTCTTTCCACGCAATTCTAAAGACCTCTAAATTAGTTTTTTTCCATTTACGCTCTAAATTACGGGTTTCTCTCTTTAAAACATACGTAGTATTATTGTACCATGGTGCTATACTTTTTTCTCTGACCTTTTTTAATCTAATGGGTGCAACAATATCCAATGTTCTAGAGAGAATGGAGCTCATAGTGCTAGTTAATTCGTCTAGTTCATCTGTTTGTTTGGGTTCAGGCAGCAGCTGAGTCAGATCAGATAAGCTATTTGAGAAATGATCTATGGTGGATGGAAGAATTGTTCTACCTGGTCGATAACGTGGCGCAGCATGACATATTACAGCGGTATTTAATATGCACCATATGTTACCATGTAATGGTCCGTGACATCATCACTTTGTGGAATGATATCTATATCGGTTGGATCGGTTCCATATGATATAATTAAATCGAGTGTATGATTAAGACGATGAGTTGGTCCGGTGACGTTTTGCTTGACCCTGAAGGAGTGTAATAAATCTGTGAACGCAGCCCCTAACGCATCATTTGAATTATCTACGTGTATGTTAAAATCTCCAACAATTAATGCTTTATCGACGTTGACCAATAGATCTGATAGAAAGTCTGCAAACTCTTTTAGGAAATCGGTGTAAGGCCCTGGAGGTCTATACAGGTCCTTCTCAAAAAATTAGCATATTGTGATAAAGTTAATTATTTTCCATAATGTAATGTTAAAAATTAAACTTTCATATATTTTAGATTCATTGCACACCAACTGAAATATTTCAGGTCTTTTATTGTTTTAATACTGATGATTTTGGCATACAGCTCATGAAAACCCAAAATTCCTGTCTCAAAAAATTAGCATATCATGAAAAGGGTCTCTAAACAAGCTATTTACCTAATCATCTGAATCAACTAATTAACTCTAAACACCTGCAAAAGATTCCTGAGGCTTTTAAAAACTTTCATTACTCAAAACCGCAATCATGGGTAAGACTGCCGACCTGACTGCTGTCCAGAAGGCCATCATTGACACCCTCAAGCAAGTGGGTAAGACACAAAGAAATTTCTGAACAAATAGGCTGTTCCCAGAGTGCTGTATCAAGGCACCTCAGTGGGAAGTCTGTGGGAAGGAAAAAGTGTGTCAGAAAACGCTGCACAATGAGAAGAGGTGACCGGACCCTGAGGAAGATTGTGGAGAAGGACCGATTCCAGACCTTGGGGGACCTGCGGAAGCAGTGGACTGAGTCTGGAGTAGAAACATCCAGAGCCACCGTGCACAGGCGTGTGCAGGAAATGGGCTACAGGTGCCGCATTCCTCAGGTCAAACCACTTTTGAACCAGAAACAGCGGCAGAAGCGCCTGACCTGGGCTACAGAGAAGCAGCACTGGAATGTTGCTCAGTTTTGCATGTCATTCGGAAATCAAGGTGCCAGAGTCTGGAGGAAGACTGGGGAGAAGGAAATGCCAAAATGCCTGAAGTCCAGTGTCAAGTACCCACAGTCAGTGATGGTCTGGGGTGCCATGTCAGCTGCTGGTGTTGGTGCACTGTGTTTTATCAAGGGCAGGGTCAATGCAGCTAGCTATCAGGAGATTTTGGAGCACTTCATGCTTCCATCTGCTGAAAAGCTTTATGGAGATGAAGATTTCATTTTTCAGCACGACCTGGCACCTGCTCACAGTGCCAAAACCACTGGTAAATGGTTTACTGACCATGGTATTACTGTGCTCAATTGGCCTGCCAACTCTCCTGACCTGAACCCCATAGAGAATCTGTGGGATATTGTGAAGAGAAAGTTGAGAGACGCAAGACCCAACACTCTGGATGAGCTTAAGGCCGCTATCGAGGCATCCTGGGCCTCCATAACACCTCAGCAGTGCCACAGGCTGATTGCCTCCATGCCACGCCGCATTGAAGCAGTCATTTCTGCAAAAGGATTCCCGACCAAGTATTGACTATTGAGTGCATAACTGAACATAATTATTTGAAGGTTGACTTTTTTTTTTTTGTATTAAAAACACTTATTTTATTGGTCGGATGAAATATGCTAATTTTTTGAGACAGGAATTTTGGGTTTTCATGAGCTGTATGCCAAAATCATCAGTATTAAAACAA